CCTGATGCTTTCCCACCTTCTGGCCAAGATACTGCCTCTCTTCCTCTCTTCCTTTTTCTTCCCTCCAAACCTCTTAATGAAGCAGAGTGGTAGAATGGAAGTATACTAGGCCCATAACCCAATCTTCTTGATGAACAAAATGACAGAAAGGCTAGTAGGCTGCTTCTGCTTTCTTCCCTACTCATTTTCCCAAAAACATCAATATTCAAAGCAGAGTATTTGCTCAGGGGTGACAGAAGAGTATGAAATTCCTCAGATTTGTACCTCAAACCGCCAGCCTAGCCATTTATGCCACCTAGAACAGGATTGGAGACTGGGTTCTGTGGGGTGAGATAACCATCTGGTACATAATGTGGTCTACAGACTGGATGTGCATCTAAGCCTTGTCCCGTCTACTAAGTAGGGACAAGTGGATTACAGACAGAGGAGGTGGGCTGGGGTGGTGCTATATGTACTAGTGAAGCATCCTTATCAACATTCAGGGTGACTAGGCTATCAGGAAGAATGCAAAGAATGGCTGCTACTCCAAGCTTGCCTGGCACTGGCTTCTGCCTTTGCGGTCACCTCTCCTGTTCCTATTTGAGCATCTACAGATTCTCAGATGTGAGCTGACACTCAGAGCAGCCATTCTTGGTGCATATACAGGGCACCCTTGACACAATAATGGAGACCACAGGAGGAACCCACTGTAGGAGACTGACAAGTACAGGTATACTGAAAGGACCCAGGAGATCTTCAAGTATAATGAAAACATAGGGAACAATAGGTGGGTGTCAGAGAGCTGTCACTGGATGCAAGTGAGGGTTTGTGAAGTTTCCCTCTAAATGTAGAGGCTCTTAGGATCCTTGACTTCAGTTATAAATAAGAATCTGGACAACTTAGAATGCTAAGAAAATTTGGCAGAACTTTATTAAGTAGGTAAGCAGACAAGCAGACAGACAGCAGACAAAAGCAGAGGCACACTCTTTACGGGCACTTTCAAAGGGAGAGAGATACTGGGCTCTTTCACATCAGGGATATTTATATGATGAGGGCAGGGTCTGACTTAAAGTCATGCATATAGGTGTTTATCTTTGCTCTTAATCACTCTTGGTATTACACTTGTACCACTTGGGCTCATGGTCTTGGAGACTGACCTGTACTTTAAATATATGACCATTATGTTTGGGCATCCCTCTTAGGAAAGAATGCATTCTGCCATATATTTTATCCTTGAGATAGAATGCATCCTGCCACAAAGGTTTATCCTTTGAGATAAGCACTTTGTGCCAGGAGGAACTATTTTTCCAAGCATTTGCTTCTCCAGGATACATATCTTTTTTTTTTGATGTCCTTTTTAGAGCACACTAATTGCTTGGGGCCAGCAGGCAAGGTCAGCTAGAGAAAGCTGCTCTTGCTATTTTTCCCCTTCTGTTAATACTGGAGCTTAAGAAGGAGTGCAAGAGTTAAAACAAAGAAGATTGCTGTGTTTCTAAATACAGTTTCTAAATTCCTGGCTGCCATTCACCCTGATTTTCCGTAGTCTCCTGCCTCATTTTCCTCTAGAACGACTGTGGTCCCTTAATCGTAAGGGAAGTTGATGGGTGTAGATCAGTCTCTTATATTTATTTGCTTTCAGCTGAGTTTTTTTTTTTTTTTGTCGGTCCTGGGGCTTGAACTCTGGGCCTGGGCACTGTCCCAAGCGAGCGCTCTACCACTCGAGCTACAGCGCCACTTCCGGTTTTCTGGTGGTTTATTGGAGATAGGAGTCTCACGGTCTCTCCTGCCCGGGCTGGCTTTGAACCGAGATCCTCAGATCTCAGCCTCCTGAGTAGCTAGGATTACAGGCGTGAGCCACCAGTGCCCGGCTCAGCTGAGTTTTTAAAAAAAATTCCTGGTTGCTGTTTACCATGCCTCATTTTCCCTGGTCTATCCTGCTTCAGAATGAGAGATGAGCATAGATTTCTACAGTCCCTCCCAGGAGAGATTTTATGCCATCATCCCAGCGGTACAGACCATAGGAAAAGGTGATTACAAGGATAGAGATGGAAAACTGCTGACTCTGAGTGGGATAAGGGTCTTCACCTTGGTTCTAACCTGAGCTCAGAAGCTCCCAAAGGTGAGGTGGGGCTTCAGGGGGAGAGCAGTTGTGTGATACCCTCCAGAGTACAGGTGGCCCAGAACACCAGGGTTCCCGGTTGGTAAGACCCACCGTAGGCGCTCTTGGAATGAAAGTGATATAAAAGAAGGCCTGGCATCATAAAGGTTGTGAAGACTGAAGATCCAAGAGCTCTGCTGAAATTTTCCCAACATGGGGAGGCTCCAAGGAAGTGAAGGCCCCTTGGAAACAACACACTGAGCAGAGACTTGGAACCAAGTTACCTGGCTTAGAGAAACAAAGCATGAACATAGTGGATTAGATTACCAGGGCTTCTGGCTCCTCCACAAATGGAGGAACTCAAGTTCCCCCTGGAGATGCTAGGAAAGGACCTGTTCCAGGCCTCAGTCCCAGATTACTTCCAGGAGCTTGTGGGAACATAATTCCAAACTTAACATGGTGTTCTTTCTGTGTGTGCCTGTGTCCAAATTTCTTTTTTTTAAAATAAGGACATGCCATATTGGATAAGGAGCCCACCCTGTTCTACTGTGGCTTTATCTTAACATCTACAATGACTTTATTCCCAAATAAGGGCACATCTGAAATACTGGAGGTTAAGATTTCACATATAAATTTTGAGGACTATAACCCCCAACAGATGGGCCTCCCAGTCTGAATTTTAGGACACAAGTCACATGTTTTGTCCATACCCAGCTGACTCCCATGACTGGCATCTTGTTTCATCTTTGCACCATCCTGTGAGCTGTGAGGACAGGAGGAGGTATGGAGCAGTTAAATTGCTATGGTTGGGACAGTCACCTTCAACACACCACTGATGCCCAAGTCAGCAGGCAGCCTGTTTCCCAGCTGTGACCAGATTAACAAGCTGCCCTGAGTCTCTAAGTCCTCACTCATCTAAAATTACAAAGATACGTGCCTTCAGGCACGACTGGGAACAAGAACAGTTCTACCAAGATGTGGCAGGGAATTTGGAGGGGACTCAGTTCATTGCAAGATCACAAAGCAAAGTGGGTATCCAGGGCATCCTAGCTGCTTTCCCTCAGTTCCCTTGGGTACTGGAACTCTCTCCTTGAGTTGGGCTGAGATCCTAAGAGAACAGGGGTCAAAAGAACATGCTCAAGGTCAGTGGGGCCTGACCTGTCTTCCCTCCTTTGCCTCACCTTTCTGACCCCCTGGCTATTTCAAACCCAGGCTCACCTATCTCTCACCCTTCCCTCTTCCTAAGAGTCCAGGGTGGGCTTCTGATGGTTGTAGAGATCTATGGACTTGATGTGCGAGGTGCCCAGTTTCAGAGATATCAAGGGAGGGTCAGACCGGGGTCCAGCATTCCTTCCAAAGACATTTGTCCTTGAAAGATGAAATGTGACTTCTGGAGTGAGGGAGGAGGGAGAGCAAATGGGGAAACGGAACCACAGAATCTTAGAATTGGATGGAACGTTGGGATAGCCCTGTTCCCCCCCCTCCCCCCCCCCCAGCTACAGATGGAGAAACAGAGGTCCAGGAAGGGGAGGTAATGTGCCAAGGTCAAATGTTGATGCCAAGTGTAGGTCTTTAGAGGGCATTGAGAGCGAGGTGGTGGGTACCCCCACATGTGATCTCCGTTTCCAAGAGGGGCTTGCGTATAGGAAGGGGGTCGCCTCCAGAGCTCAGGGGAGGGAGGAGAGGCTAAAATAAGGTGGGGCGGAGGATTGTGGGGTTGTAGGACCCTCTACCCGCCCCAGCAAAGCGTGGGGCGCCAGGGGAGAGGGCGTGCGGGCAGGTGGGGTCCTGCGGGGGCCCGCGAGCCCGACCGGGGCGGGGTGAGTCACAGCCCGCCCGCTCCCATTGTGCGGCCCGGCGGCGGCGCGGAGCGCGAGGAGGTGGAGCCGCGGGCTTCGGGCTCCGGCGCCTGCGTCCGCCGGGCCGGGCTGTGCGCGCCCGCCGAGCGGCCGGACCGGAGCCCGGCGGCCGCGCCCAGGAGCCGGCGGGGAGGGACATGGGGCGCGGCGACCCACTTGGGCCCCGCAGGCTGCAGAACCCGGAGGTACTGCGGGGCGGGGCGAAGCCACCGGGGCTGGGAGGGGGGCACCGGGCTGTCCCGGGCGTGGCTGGGCCTGGGAAGGGGGGGCGCACGGGCGGGGCGCGGGAACCCCAGCCCCGGAGGCGGGGGCCGTCAGCGCCGGGATCCTGACCCCGCTTCCCCCCCGCCCCAAGGCTGCTCTCTAGGCCACCGCAGCGCCCCCTTCTTACCCCGGACCCCGGTTTCTTCCTGAGCGAGAACCCCCAAAGCCGCTCCCCCCTGCCATGGCTAACGGAGTGATCCCGCCGCCCGGGGGCGCCTCCCCTCTCCCCCAGGTGATTGATGCGCGCGGGGGTGGGAGGGGGGAGAGATGGGAGGGACCCTGGGGTGGGGCCGAGTGTCCTCTGGCTGACCCTGGGACCCCCAGATCCAGGAGTGGAGCTGGGCTGTTGATAGGGAGAAAGGAGGTGTCTTTGGTATTTTTTCAGATCTGTGACGACCCCCACCCACCCCAAACCAAGGCCTGGGAACCTGCAGAGGCTTTCCGGGCTGCTGACCCAGGCCTGGGCTCAAGGGGAAAGGGAAGAGATAGAGCTACTGGTTTTCTTAGCCCCCAAGTAGGGCACGGAGTTACTTAAGGTGGGTGAATGGGGTGTTCCTGAGCCCAAGTGCTCAGAAGGGGCTGTCTGGGCCTGCAGGTCCGGGTGCCCTTGGAGGAGCCCCCTCTGAGTCCGGACGTCGAGGACGACGACGATGACCTGGGCAAGACCTTGGCTGTGAGCAGGTTTGGGGACCTCATCAGCAAGCCTCCGGCCTGGGACCCTGAGAAGCCCAGCCGCAGCTACAGCGAGCGGGACTTTGAGTGTGGGTAGCTTGGGGACCCCTACCTAGTGTGGCCGGCTACCTTCATCACCATCACCATCATCGCCACCATCACTGCGCTCACCTCCGGCTTGATCACCCAGTGCCATCCTGTGCTGGACTCTGTGCTGGGCCACTATGCCATGTTAAGTCATCCTGCCTACCTGGTCTATTGCCTGTTCACCTGCCAGGAGAGCTGGGCCCCAAACCAGGAGAGATCTAGGGAGATGAGTCCCGGCCTGTGTCAGTGACCTTCATCTTCCCCTTTGGTCGTGTTCTGTCTCCTCTGCCATGGCCCCATCTTGTCCCCCCTCAGCTCCTCTTCCTCCTCCTTGTCACATCATGCCTTCCCTCCCCCTTTCATGACTTTCTCCCTCCACCACGCCTGCTTTCCTTCTACCAGGCCTCACCAATGCCAGGAGCATGGACACAGGTGTGGGGGGTGGGTGGAGCAAGACTGGCCTGGAGGAAGGATTAGGGGACTCCTGTTTGAAGCATTGAGCTAAAATAGGGCATGTGCCCCTTGGAATGGGGAGGGCCCCTTCTCCTGTGGGAGCCTCAACTGGCTCTCCTGCACCCCCAGTTCACCGGCACACATCCCACCATACCCACCACCCGCTCTCGGCCCGCCTGCCTCCACCCCACAAGTTACGACGCCTGCCCCCCACCTCTGCCCTGCACACCAAGAGGAAGAAGAAGAAGGAGAAAACCTCTGCTCCCCCCTCGGAGGGGACCCCTCCCATCCAGGAAGAGGGAGGAGCTGGAGCCGAGGAGGAGGAAGAGGAGGAGGAGGAGGGGGAATCTGAGGCAGAACCTGTGGAGCCTCCACCCGCAGGGCCTCCACAGAAAGCAAAGGTAGGGACCTGCCTCTGGAAGAGGGGCTCACGGGTGGGGAACAGGTGCAGAGGGGACACAGGAGGACGCAGCAGTGGGAGAGGGCTGGGTGGTACAGGCAGAGGCCCAGGTATATCCATGTTTCCGTAGTTCTCCATTGGCAGCGATGAAGATGACAGCCCTGGCCTTTCTGGCAGGGCCTCCTGCACCAAGCCTCTGCCCTCGGTGGGCCCACGTTCTGAACAGAGCCCCCAGAACTCCATCAGGTACTATCCCCAGGCCTCATTTGGTGGGTCTCTGTTCAGAGTAGCTAGCCCAAAGTCCTTGTTCCTGAGAACTGTCCCCAGGGGTGACCTGGAGAGCAGGGGAGATGGAGGTATCCCTGGGCCAGCTGCCCTCCATCCATCCATTACAAGGGGTGGGGGAGAATAAGAAGGGAGGAAAGAGGGAGGAGCAGAGACAAGAGGCCCAGAGTTTTTCAGGACCAAGGTGTCAAAGTAAAGAGGTTGGGGAACAGGAAGGAGGAGGAGGGTCAGTGAGTAGGGGAAGGGTGGACATGGCAGGGAGGGAAGGCCTGTGTCTTGGGCCTAGGCATCTACTCCGGGCCCCCAGGCTGGGGGAAGGTGTGGGAGCCCGCTAGCCTGGTTATCTCCCCATCTTTCCCTGTCTAGTCCAAGACTGCATGTTTCCTCCTTAGCTCTCCCAGCCCCCGGGCCCGGGCTTCCCGAATTGCTGCAGAGAAGAGCCGGCCGTGGAGTCCATCGGCCAGCTATGACCTGAAGGAGCGACTGTGCCCAGGCAGTGCCCTGGGTAACCCTGGTGGGACAGAGCAACGGGTGCCAACTGATGAGGCAGAGGCCCGGATGCTGGGCTCTGCAGACCTGGATGACATGAAGAGTGAGTGAGACCCAGTGGCAGCCCCACCGCCCACAAGCTCCCAACCTGCTGGGGACCTTGAAAAGTCCCCATGCTCTCCCCCACCCAGGGTCCAGTCTCTTCTGCGGTGTCCCTGTCTGCTGGAATGAGGCCAGTGGCAGGGAGCTCATTACCTCACCAAACCACTACGGACACAGCTAAGATTTCCCTTTGTGACACCTCAGGTTCTGATTCTGTCCTCTGAGTCAGTGTGGTGTAAGGTAGCCCTCTCTCCTACGTGGTATTTGAGGACATCACTGTATCCTCTTCTCCCAGGGCCTCTCTTTTCAGCAAACTTGTTATCCCTAGCTCTTGACTCTCTTTCTCACTGGCCCCCATACTGCCAGGCCCCTGCCTCTCCCTGGGCCAGCGTCACAGCTGCCCTCAGTCCATCCCACCGCCCTGGCTGTGATCTCGGCACATTCCTTCCATCTTATCAGTGCCCTGGCTTCAGTGCCACCTGTCATCACCCTCAGGGCTCTGTGCCCAGGCCAGGGGCATCACTGGTCCCGCCCTCCTCGTCCTCAGACCTACAGGGTATGGGTAGGAGAAAGGGGGGGGGGTCAGGGGAGGGCAGGGCTTTTGAGCTCAGTACGTCATGGAAAGTTGCCAGGGCCTGAGGACAGGGACAGGAACAATCCGATGGCAGCAGCAGCAGCAGCAGCAGTGGAATGGGGGGGCGGTCATGGGGAGGGCGTGTTTACAGGCCCAAGCTGGAGGCTGGTGGCAGCCAGAAGCAGACTTTGGGGACGTGGGGAGTCAGGGTCAGGTCCAGCTTTGTGTGGACAAAAGACCATTCTTGCCTGGACTCCTAACTCTTGGGATAGCCAGGATTCGGAGAGGGAACAGGGCCTGAGACCTTGGCCACTAGGGGAATGATGAGCTGGCTGGATGAGGCCATGGAGCCCAATGGGGTAGTGAACCCTGCACATGGGGACACCGAGGGCCAGGGTCCTGAGAGGGATCTAGCCCCCAGCCCTTGTGACTTGGTGGCCTCCGAGGACATAGAGATGTTTGTGCTGGATTTGGAGGACTATGGCCTGTGGGAGTCTGACAGGGGCCAGCTGAGCGCCATGGCAGGGACACCAGCTCGTGAGTAACTGGGCCGAGGACCTCTCCCTAACAGCTGGCCTGGGTGGGGGCTGGTGGAAGGAGGGGCCAGCAGCCCTGCCTGAGTCTGGGGTATGGAACTCTTGGAGATTTGGTCAGTCATGCGGCCCCATAGGGAGTGGGCCACGGATGAAGTTAGAGGGTCCAGTTGGGCTGTGAACTGAGTTGGGATCTGTCTTCTTGTTAGGACTCGATCCCTTAGGTGGCTTTCCTGAGTATCAATGTCGTTATCCATAAAAGGGCCCCCCTGGGTCTGTGGTCCTAGTGCTCATCAAGTTGACTGGTTGGGCAGGGCAAGGGGCTCGGGTCATGACCTGAGGCCTCAGGCTGGACCCCTGGGAACCCTAACACCCCCCCTCCCCTGTCTCTACACATAGGTCACCGGCTGGAGGACAACCCCGGTGTTCGGCGACACTTGGTGAAGAAGCCATCTCGGACGCAGGGAGGGAGGAGCAGCCCAAGTGGCCTGGCTCCCATCCTGCGCAGGAAGAAGAAGAAGAAGAAGTTGGATCGGAGACCTCATGAGGTACTGGATCCCAGAGGTGTGGGCCTGCAGTTTTGAGCCTTGCCCTTCCTTCCCCTCCCGGGCCGGCTCTGTGGTGGTGACATTCCCCTATGCCAGCACATCTGGCCTGGAAGCTTCCAGGCCCTCACTTTGGACTTGTACCCCAGGTGTTTGTGGAACTGAATGAACTGATGCTGGACCGCAGCCAGGAGCCTCACTGGCGGGAGACAGCCCGCTGGATCAAGTTTGAGGAAGATGTGGAGGAGGAGACGGAGCGCTGGGGCAAGCCCCATGTTGCCTCCCTTTCTTTCCGAAGCCTTTTGGAGCTCAGAAGGACCATTGCCCATGGTAGGGGTCCTCCGTGGTGGCCTGGGGCTACCTGCCTTCCCCATGTTCACAGAGCTTAGCTTGTACCTGTACTAGGCTGCCCACAGAGCTTAGCTTGTACCTGTACTAGGCTGCCCACAGAGCTTAGCTTGTACCTGTACTAGGCTGCCCAGGGCTCTCGGACTACTTCCTGGAGTCCTATACCTAGGCCACACCTGACCACCACTTTGGGGCTGTGGGTTCCAGTGTCTGAGCAGCCCATAATATACTCTGAGAGGCAGGGCTGGCATGGGCTCCTTGGTACTTAGTGAGTGTTAAGTTACCCATCTGGAAATTAACTTGTGACTCACCTTCCTTGGTGAGGAGGGGCCTGCTTGCTCTTGTTCACCTCTTCCCATGGCTGCATGGACTGTGTGTCTGTTGGAGTGACTGGCTGTGCATCCTCTCCAGTCTATGTACCTGCCCTTGGGAGCATAGCAGGGGCCAGGGGCTTCTGTGTGACAGATGACTCCTGCTCTTCCTGTGATCTAGGAGCGGCCCTCTTGGACCTGGAGCAAACAACTCTACCAGGCATCGCACACCTTGTGGTGGAGACCATGATCGTATCTGACCAGATCCGGCCAGAGGACAGGGCCAGTGTCCTGCGGACCTTGCTGCTAAAACACAGGTGTGTACCTGGTACCCAGGAAGTGTCTGTCTGCTTCAGCTTGCCTTCCAGAGGTACAGACTCCTCCATGTGGCTCTCCTTCAGCCTCCACTTGAAGACAGAAAGTGACTAGGAGCTCATTCCCCATCCTTCCTTCTACACCCCCAATCATGAGAAAGTTCTTACACTGCCGAGAGGCGCGGGGGCCCAGATCCTGCCCCTTCTCTCCTCCTAACTCACCTCTCTCCTTTCTCTAGCCATCCCAATGATGACAAGGACAGTGGCTTCTTCCCCCGGAACCCATCGAGTTCCAGTGTGAACTCAGTCCTGGGGAATCATCACCCCACCCCTAGCCATGGCCCTGATGGCCCAGTGCCAACCATAGCTGATGACCTCGGAGAGCCAGCCCCACTTTGGCCACACGACCCTGATGCCAAGGAGGTCAGTGGCCTTGCTGTGGCCTGAGCCTGAGAGGATATGCAGTTTGAGTTGAGGTCTTCAGTGGCTTTGTTGCTGTGTAGGGAAGAGGGAAGGTTGGCTGGCTGGCACCATGCTAGGCATGCAGGGGATCTGTGGGTGGTGTGTGATGGGTGTTGTGTTTCCAGGAAGGCACAGGATTTCAATGCAAAGGGGTTGCTGGCACATGGGAGCCGTGAACACAAGAGAAAGCTGGGCTGGTATAGGGTTTAGAGGGTGGGGTACAGATCCTAGGCTGGTCTCTTCCTGTTGTGGGGAGGGAGTATGCAGGACACAAATCCAGGGCTGGAGCAAAAGGTGGGAGGGCCTGCCATGGCCTCCGGTCTGGGTCCCAGCCCTATTCCAGTTCTGCGTCCTCAGAAGCCCCTCCACATGCCCGGGGGAGATGGTCATCGGGGGAAAAGCCTGAAGCTGCTGGAGAAGATCCCTGAAGATGCTGAAGCCACTGTTGTGCTTGTGGGTGAGAAGGGAGGGCTGGGTGTGGGAGGCGGGTCTGCAGAGCATGTGCCCCACTATAGAGGCTGGATCCCTAATCCCTTCTTTCCCCATTTCCTGCCTGCTTCCCATCCAGTTCTCGGCCATCTTGATGGCCGCTGGTTTACACAGCACCATTGTGAGACTTAGACAAAAGCAACCTTTAATTACTACCTTTAATTGCCATCTATTAGTAAATTATAAGTATACAAACACATAAATGAATGGGAACCCCAATAGATTGATGTTTCTTAGTGCAGTGTACAACCTGTGCATAAATACCCCAATCTCCCCTCTAGGATCTGCCTTGACAGCTCCCTTTTACCCAGCATCCTCTTCTGCCTTCTTCTCTAGGCTGTGTGCCTTTCTTGGAGCAGCCAGCAGCAGCCTTTGTGCGGCTGAGCGAGGCTGTGCTGTTGGAGTCTGTGCTTGAGGTCCCTGTGCCTGTCCGCTTCCTCTTTGTGATGCTGGGGCCCAGCCACACCAGCACCGACTATCATGAACTTGGGCGTTCTATTGCTACCCTGATGTCTGACAAGGTGGGCCTTGCACTCCACGCTGGGTTCTTAGCCTAGGCCTCCTAGCCGCTGCTTGTACCCTGGCCTTCCCATTGCCGACAGTGTTCCTATGAAAGCAAGGGTGTGAGAGGCCCTCCTGGCTGTGCTCTCGAAGATGACTGGAGGAGTTGTTGGCCCAGGGTAGAAATGGAAACCCTGGGCCAGGGCTTGGGAAGCAGGTGGTGCTGCAGACCCAGACCCCAAATAGCAGGAGATGTGAATGGGAGGGCTGGTGGTGCTGGCCTTTGTTGAGGCTTCTCCTGGGGCTGAAGTGGACACAGAAGTGTCCTCTTACCAGGGGTGATTTTCAGGAGACCTGTCAGCCTGTAGGGTGTGGGCACTGCCAAATCAGAATGGTTCTGTAGGTCCTCACTACACATGCAATAGCACTTTTTTTTTTTAGTTTTTAATTATTAGATTTTTTTAGTTTTTAATTATTATTATTATTATTATTTTTGTCAGTTGTGGGGCTTGAACTCTGGGCCTGGGTGCTGTCCCTGAGCCCTTCAGCTCAAGGCTAGTGCTCTACCACTTCCACCACTTTAGTTTTCCGTGGAAATGTTAGGAAGCCCTGAGGGGAAGGGAGGAATCCTGGGCAGGTCAGGGCAGTGGCTGCCTGCTGGCCTGCAGGGAAGTGTGTCAGTGTTTTGACAACTGATACTGCTAGACCACGCTGGCATGTGTGGCCAACTGTCTACCCTGCCCTAGCTCTGTGACCCCACACTGCCTCTCTCAAGTCCTCAGGCTGCCTCAGCCCTTCCAGGAGGACATGACTGCCTCTTCTTTCCAGCTGTTTCACGAAGCTGCCTATCAGGCCGATGATCGGCAGGATCTGCTGGGCGCCATCAGCGAGTTCCTGGATGGCAGCATTGTGATTCCCCCATCTGAAGTGGAGGGCCGAGATCTGCTGCGCTCCGTGGCTGCCTTCCAGCGCGAGCTCCTGAGGAAGAGGCGGGAGCGGGAGCAGACCAAAGTGGAGATGACCACTCGGGGGGGCTACGTGGCCCCTGGCAAAGGTCAGACCTGTTGGGGCCGAGTCTTCCTGACACACATACACCCCCCTCCCGGGGCCTGAAGCGGTGACACTAGCCTTGTCCTGACTCCCCCAGTCCTTTGTGCCACATTGGCTTTTTGTCTCTGACCTCCAAGTCCCAGGCTGCATGGGGGCACTGAGCTTGGGGCCTCCAAGCAGGAGGGAAGGGTCTGTCCCAGCGGTCCCTTGTTTCCCCACAGAGCTTGCTTTGGAGATGGGGGGCTCGGAGGCAGCCCCTGAAGATGACCCCCTGCGGCGGACAGGCTCGGTGTTTGGGGGGCTCATCCGGGACGTGAAAAGGCGGTACCCACATTACCCCAGCGACCTGCGGGATGCCCTGCACTCACAGTGTGTGGCTGCTGTGCTCTTCATCTACTTTGCTGCCCTCAGTCCTGCCATCACTTTCGGGGGGCTGCTAGGTGAGGGCAGGGGAGAAGTGAGGCTCCTGTGGCCATTTAGGGAGTCTCAGGGAGCAGCTGGTTCAGGGGGGCCCCAGTGATTCCTTTCGGGGGCTTTATGTAGTATTGTATGCCTGTAATGCCAGCACCCAGGAGGCTGGAGTTCCAGGTCAGCCTAGAACTCAGGTCTACACAGTGAGACGGTGCTTCAGAAAACAAGCAAAAGCAAAACAGGCGAGAAGGGTAGGAGGGGTGCGAGGGTGGGGGACCCTGGCTTTACCTTGGGACTGGTGGGAAGGGAATGATAAGAAGGAGGGTGGGCAGGAGACTTGTCTGTCTGTTCCTGCAGGACAGATGAGGGAGTCAGGTAGAAAGCCAGACTAACACCCCTGCCCCACCCACTCCCCTGCCCCAGGAGAGAAGACTGAGGGGCTGATGGGTGTGTCTGAGCTGATCGTGTCCACCGCTGTCCTCGGTGTTCTCTTCTCCTTGCTGGGGGCCCAGCCGCTCCTTGTGGTTGGCTTTTCTGGGCCTCTGCTTGTCTTCGAAGAAGCTTTCTTCAAGGTGATGCCTGCCTTCTTCTCCCTCCTCAATCTCTCCCCCCCCCCCCCCCCCGCACCCTCCAGCCCTGTGCCCTTCTAGCCCAGGTGATGACCCCTGAACTCTCCTCCCTTGCCCATCTCTTGGGGCACTGATGTCCAGGGCAGACCGTGTCTGAGTAATCATTCTTCCCCTGCTCCTAGTTCTGCCGAGCCCAGGACCTGGAGTACCTCACGGGCCGGGTGTGGGTCGGCCTCTGGCTGGTGGTTTTCGTCCTGGCCCTGGTGGCTGCGGAGGGCAGCTTCCTTGTCCGCTACATCTCTCCATTCACCCAGGAGATCTTCGCCTTCCTCATCTCACTCATTTTCATCTACGAGACCTTCCACAAACTCTACAAGGTAGTGGGTCCAAGGGACAGGTAGCGCTGGGGCCTGGGCCGAACCCCAGGCAGGGCAGAAGGGGGGTAGGTATGGAGCGCTGGGGGCAAGGGGACAGAAGGGGCTCTGTTGGATGAGGGTGTGGCCTCCGGCTGAGCTGAAGGAGAGGGAGTTAAGCCCAGAGCAAGTTAATTCAAGATTCTAGACTCAGCAGAGAGGACTTACTTGTGTGTGGTGGAGTAGGTAGCCCTAAGAGGCTGTGTGTCCTGGAAGTGAGTGTGTGTGTGTGTGTGTGTGTGTGTGTGTGAGAGAGAGAGAGAGAGGGGGGGGGGGAGAGGAGGCAGAGGGAGAGGAGAAGAGAGAGAATGAGAAGGTATCCTTGCTTTCCACTCACAGGTGTTCACGGAGCACCCTCTGCTGCCATTCTATCCCCCTGAGGGGGATCTGGAGGGGGGCCTGGAGGCTGGCTTGGAGCTGAATGGCAGTGCCCTGCCCCCCACTGATGGACCCCCAGGCCCGAGGAACCAGCCCAATACAGCCCTGCTGTCCCTCATCCTCATGCTGGGGACCTTCCTTATCGCCTTCTTCCTGCGAAAGTTCAGGAACAGCCGCTTCCTGGGTGGCAAGGTGTGTGGCGGCTGGGTGTGGAGCGGTGCCATGTTTGATACCTGCAGTCACTGTCCAGCTTGGCTCCTGAGGGAGGCGGAACCTCTTTCCCTCTCAGGCCAACCAAGTCTGACAGCCCCGCCTGCCCACCAGTGGCCTCCTCCTTGGGCATTTCTTACTGGTTGGTCATAGTTCAGTCAATACAGGAATGCCTTCCAGGCAGAGCGGGGGGCCTCTCGGGAGTCAGGCTAGGGGCTATCTGGCTCCATCTTGGCCTGAGGAAGGGTGCAAGGGAGTCTGCTGAGCCTCCCTCCATGTCTGCTTCCTCCCTGGCCCAACCCTCTGCAGGCTCGCCGCATCATTGGGGATTTTGGCATCCCCATCTCCATTCTGGTAATGGTCCTGGTGGACTACTCCATTACGGACACTTACACGCAGGTGAGTGCGCCTGGCTGTGGAGGAGCTGGCATTCGCCTCGGGTCAAGATTGGGGCTGCAGCCTGACTCTCCTTAGAGGAGGCGGCCTGCTGGGGCCACGCGAGGGAGGGTGGGACTGGGTCCTGGGAGCCGCTGTGAAGTCCAGCCAAGAGCATCTGAGCCGTGGGTGACCCGAAGAGGAATCTGGAGGAGCAGGTGTGAGTTGGGGCGGGATGACAGATTTGACACGAGTTTAGGAATAAACTTTTATTTCCCTGCCCCCAAAATGACCCCTGGAGGGACAGTGACTTTGGGGAATGCAGAACAAGTTCTTCCTCTCCTCCTGTTCCCCCCAGAATTCTGGCCCTGTGGAATCAGAGCTCGGAGGGAGCAGCTCCTGCGTGGGCCTTCAGCATGTGGGAGGCCCGGGCAGAAGCAGTGTAGCAGTGGGCAGGTGTCCCTGACCGCTGTCTTCCTGTGTGCCCTGCAGAAGCTGACAGTGCCCACAGGGCTCTCCGTGACGTCCCCTCATAAGCGCACGTGGTTCATTCCACCTCTGGGCAGTGCCCGCCCTTTTCCACCCTGGATGATGGTGGCAGCTGCCGTCCCTGCCCTCCTCGTCCTCATCCTGATATTCATGGAGACACAGATCACTGCGTGAGAGGGCTGGGGCTAGGTGTGGGGGGAAGGGGAGGGTCGGGGCTCGTTCTGTGGCTGAGTTTTAGGGTTCAGGAGGGGATATCTATCAGTCTGGGGTGCCAGGTGCGTGGCTGCTGTAGCAGGCCTTGAGGAGTTGGCAGGGGTGAGGAGGTGGGGGGAGCTGGGGCAGGGGTGAGGCATTGAGGGTCCAGGCTTGGTTTCCTTGTGAGGAAATGGCACGGTGCCCATCTGTCACCACCACCGTTTGCAGAGCGGCACTTGACAGTGCTCAGATCGCTGGCAGGGTGTTCTCACACCCAGAGATGCTCGCGTGTATCTCATTTTGGTTAACCCAAAATAACACGGTGAGATCTGACAGCTGGCTTTTGTGGTGCTTTTAAATATTCACAGTATGAGAATTTGGCTCAGATTTGCTGCAATGTGAGAACTTCAATTTGGGAATCTGAAAGAGGAAGCTGGCAGGTCCGGGAAGAGGACCCCCCCCCCTCCCGTCCATGTGCACCCATGCTGTGCCCGCCGCGGCCCCTCACTTCCTGTCCTCTGCAGGCTCATCGTCAGTCAGAAAGCTCGGAGGCTGCTCAAGGGCTCCGGCTTCCACCTCGACCTGTTGCTGATTGGCTCCCTGGGTGGCCTCTGTGGGCTCTTTGGGTTGCCCTGGCTCACCGCTGCCACCGTCCGCTCCGTCACCCACGTCAATGCACTGACTGTGATGCGCACCGCCATAGCTCCGGGCGACAAGCCCCAGATCCAGGAGGTGCGGGAGCAGCGGGTCACCGGGGTGCTCATCGCCTGCCTCGTGGGTGAGAGCCTGGTCTCCCTCAGGCCTGCCTTCCCAGGGGAGCCCCGTGGCTGAAAGCCTCCCCACCTGAGGTTCTGCCCAGGTCCCTCCTGAATCTGCAGGTGTGTCATGTCCGGCCCTCCCTCCAGCCTGCTGACACTGAGTGTCGGCCGGTCTTCTCTGTCCTGCTCCATTTCCGGTCAGTCGTAGCCTCCCATCCCCCAGGCCTCTCCTCACAGGGGCCATCCAGGGGTCAGGTAGGCCTGTGTCACCTCCTCCAGGCCTGTCCATCGTCATGGGGGCTGTGCTGCGGCGGATCCCATTGGCTGTGCTCTTCGGGATTTTCCTCTACATGGGGGTCACATCGCTGTCTGGTATCCAGTTGTCCCAGCGTCTGTTGCTTATCCTCATGCCAGCAAAACACCATCCTGAGCAGCCTTATGTGACCAAGGTCAGGCCAGGGTGCATGAAGGTGGGGAGGTGGAGGGGGGGATGCATGAAGGTAGGGAGGTGGAGTGGGCGGTAGAGAGGTCACCAGAGACCGACAGGATCAGTAAGGTGAGTTGGGAGTTGGAGCCACATTCCCAAAGGTGTGGGTAGGTGCAGACTGTGGCTGCCGGGCGGTGAGGCCTGCTGCCCCTCCCCCTCAGGTGAAGACGTGGCGGATGCACCTGTTCACCTGCATCCAGCTGGGCTGCATTGCTCTGCTCTGGGTGGTGAAGTCCACGGCAGCTTCGTTGGCCTTTCCCTTCCTGCTGCTGCTCACCGTGCCTCTGAGGCGTTGCCTTCTGCCTCGGCTCTTCCAGGACAGGGAGCTGCAGGCGGTAAGGGGTGATCCAGGACAGGGAGCTGCAGGCGGTAAGGGGTGATCCAGGACAGGGAGCTGCAGGCGGTAAGGGGTGATCCAGGACAGGGAGCTGCAGGTGGAAAGGGGTGACAGTTTGGGGTGGCAGGATTCAGGTGGAGTTGCAATCTCTGCTTGGCTTTCTGTTGGTTTGTGTGACCTTAGGCAGGTTACCTAGCCTTTTATCTAAAATCCGATTCTCATCTGTCTCATGGGGCTGGTAATAGTTTCTGTCCTTGATAGGGATGCTGGAAGGAGTAAATACTCAGGCCAGTGAAGCATTCTGTGTGACTGTTTGGTACAAAGCTCAGCACAGGACTGTTGTGAACAGCTGTGCAGGTTGTGCCCTGAACAAAGGCACCTAGCTGAGGATGAGTATGGTGGCATGGTGCATGCCGTCCACCCTGGGCTGTTTTTGTCTGCTATGGAAAGGACGTCTTTGTGCCCCTCATCCACACTCAGACATGGCATACAGAGATACTGCAGGAACCAGCAGTGGCCCCAGGAAAGACCTCCTATGTAGTGGCCACTACCGTTATTCATAGGATTAGGAGGGGGTGGGTGACCTGAAGATTTTTGGCACAGGCAATGCTTTCACTGGAGTCCTGGTCCCTGTGGACAGTGAAGCCCAAGGCAGGGCTGGGAGAGGGAGGACTGATGGAGAACATGGAGGCAGGAGGGGACGAGTCCTCCCCAACCCTGTGCTCTGTTCTACAGCTGGACTCGGAAGATGCGCAGCCAAACTTTGACGAGGATGGCCAGGATGAGTACAACGAGCTTCACATGCCCGTGTGACCCCCCTTGGAGACCCCACCTTAGTGACTGGCGGAACCCAGGACCCAGGCAGGGCCCAGCACCAGGGCCAGGGGCTCCTCGTGGCCCAGGGATGTGTCCAGAGCTACTGCTCATGCTTAGCCCATGGCCTCCCTGACTTGGGGCTGGGCCTTTCACACACCAGACGACACAAGCTTTGAGCTCATTATAACCACACTCCTTGTCTTGTGTCTGCCTCACTTTCTTGGTTCCATCTCTGATTTCTCAGGACCCTGGCCCTTCTGGAATTGGAAGAATTGGAAGAATTTCACTATCAGGGTCACTAAAACCAGGAGGGGTTTGAGGCCAGGAGGGGCCTTGGGGATGGGAGAAAAGAATCGATACTACATAAGGTTAAAGCTGCATCTTATCATTCTCCTTCCTCTTAGATCCACTCCAGTTCGGGAGCTGGAGGAGCTCAAGGTTTGCTCAAGGTCATTGAAAGTGTGAGGGGGGGAAGGGCAGGGAGAGGAGAGGGAACCGTTTGTTCCACTTTAGCCTCTAGAGAAATCAGTTCACCTTCCATGGTTTGTGGGGCTACAGCAGGGAGGGAAAACACTTATCTTTTTTTCTTGTTCCCTGGCAGTAGGGACCGCAGCCCAGTCTCCTAGACGCCAGGGTAGTGCTGGATTTGGGGCCCTTTGGACCATCTTAGATTTTCCTGGCTTAAGAGCAGTTCTGGGATTCCTGAAGCTTACTCCTTGTGCAACCATCTCTGTTTTGCCAGAAATAACCTGGGGAGGCCTTGAGGAGGGTGGAATGGGGCCCCTTGCCTCACGGTTGCTAGGCAACTAGCAGCTGTTGTCCCTGTGTGGCCCTCTGGTGGTCATTCTCACATACTGCAGGTCCTATTCCAGCTGAGCAGGAGTTAGGCTGCCACCTGGTGGATCTGCTGCAACCCCACTAGATCTCATTCAGTTCCTCCTGGAGGGACAGCGGGTCAGGGAGACTCATGGAACTCTGCAGTGCTGAGCATCAGGGTTGAGGACCCCTCTCCCCACATTGGCCATTCCCTCTAGAGCTGGCCCTGTATTCTCCTTACACTTTTGCTCTTTGACTTCCAGGGGTTCAGGTCTGTACCTAGTTTCCCAAGGCTGGTCTAGGACCCGCAGTGAGACTGTTTGTTGTGTTCCTAAGGAAGAATTGAGCCTCCCAGCTGCCCCGGATTATCATCCAGGACACTTGATGATAATCCTCCCCGCTCCCTAGATCTCTGGCGCCACAGTGTCCCTAACTTCATCTGGCCACGGGCCGACTTGCATAGCTGATGTGAGGATGAAAATCCCTTTTTCCTTAGATTGGCCAAGGCAAAGTGGAATTTCAAAACAGCTTTGCCAAGGACCAGAGTGAAGGTCAAATGCAAAGCCTAGAAAATAGGACATGTGCAAAGCACAAAGGTGGATCCACTCACAGGCAGATTTGGCTGAGCGCCTGCATGTGGGAACCCTACTTTCTCCCACAGCTTGGATCTGATGCTCCTCCTGGATCGTGATGCAATCTGGGCACTCTTGTTTGGTCTGGGAATTCCTAGGGCCCTTAAGAAGGATTCCACCCCTGCCCCCTTCCCCCCACATACACCATAAACCTGGAAGAATTGGCCCGTCACTGGCACAGCTCTGCCAATCATTTGTGTTTCAGCCAGTAGCTGACTACTCATGGCAGGCACCTGTGGGGGTTTTAAGACGCCTTAAGGGGGCTGCAGCAACTGAAAGGTTACCACCATGGGAGCCTTGAGGAGGATCGGGAAGGAAGGGGATGGAGGCCACGCTGGGTATGTAAGAGACAAATGACAAAGCCATAGAGCAAATTCATGTAGCAGGGCCGGGCTTGTGGCTGATGGTCAGGGTCTGTCATTCTGGGATGTTTGGAGTTTCCTCTGAAGCCTAGTACTTCCTGTGTTTCCCTGCCTTCCCCTTCGCCAGGCTCAGGCCTTATCTTCTCAGGGGCCTTACTCCCTTTAGTAAGGCCTTTCCAGGGTATAGAGAGGAGCCCCATCTGGTCGTGATGGCACAATCCTGGATGCAGGACTAGAAAGGACGTGAGAGCCACGGTACATTGTCGAACAGCCCTAATGCCAGCTTCTTTGGACTGGAAATGTTTTGGAGAGTATGAAAGGTGGCAGGGGACCCCTTCCAACAAGGGTTATCAGGCCCATCGCCATATTATGTCTACTTTTGGGGCTCTCTGAGCCGAATCTTGGGCAGCTACCCAAAACTTTCACTATCCTTGGACAGATCTAAAGCCACTTCAGGCCCTTATTTTACCTTGAGCAAACAGGGTAGCTGTCATCACCTTGTTTCTTGCATAGGGGATTCAGCTCACTCCAGACACCCGAAGCCCCTATGACAGCTTCTGACTGTCAGAGCTCACAGGCCATCTGCTTGCCTTGCCCTGCACCTCTCCCTTAGGGCACAGAAGCTGGCACTAATGTGTCCCATTTGGCAGGTGGCGTGACATGGCTTCTTGTATTGGATCAGGTGACTGCAATAATGATCATGCTTGTTGACACTTGGAGCTCTCAAAGGGAATTTTAAGCAGCAAAGGAAAGATGAGACAAAAATGAAGGGCATCTGTACCAAAGGTTGCTCACAGCCGGTGAAGAAGCTGTGGTTGAAAACAATATAAACAGATTTTGGTGGCCTTCAACAGAAGGTTGGATCTAGTGAAGCAAACTAGGAAATGTGAAGTGAGGAATTTTGTTTCCAGATAAATAAATTATATGATAATTTGAGAGAATTGGATCGGTTGCATGACTCAACATTTGGGCAAAGTAAGACTCTGTTAATGATCAGTAGGATTTATGTTCTGGCAGGAAGAGGTAATATTGAGACTGCTGCTGGGATTAATTTTGTCGGAACTGTTTCTTTGTATTGAATAATGCTCTATCAAGGGCTAACTAAGCAGATGGTTGTTGGTATGCTCTCTGGGTTGAATGAATCATGATAGAGTTTAGATAGCAAGGAGAAATTACAGAGAGCTCTATGTCCAATGTCTCCAGAGCAGGGGTCAGTACCCTAAGAGATGGTGGACATGGAGGAGTTGGGCACATCTGGGGATGAGTGGGGGATGGGGTATGGCAAAATGCTGGAGAGTTCAGAGCTGGCAGAAAGAAGACACTGTTCTGGTGCTAGTGGCTCACTCCTGTAATCCTAGCTACTCAGGAGGCTGAGATTGAGATCTGAGAATCGCAGTGGAAGCTAACCTAGGTAGGAAAGCCCATGAGACTCATCTCCAGTTAATTACAAAAAGCTAGAAATGGCACTATGGCACAAGTGGTAGAGTGCTATCTTTGAGCAAAAAAGCTCAAGAACAGTGCCCAGGCCCTGAGGTCAAGCCCCAGGCCCCCATAACCCCCCAGCCCCACAAAGCACTGGGTAAACCAGACTTCATTTTGAAGCCCACATCCCTCTGAGCTTCTACTGCTTGTACTTTCTGACTCTTCTAGGTCATAAGATCAGCAGAGACCTGGCCTACGCCTTTTCTGTACCCTGGGTGTCACCCCCAGTGCTTGGCCACAGTGTGTGGAAGGTATAGGGTTGAGCAGTCGATAGAATAGGAGGACCATGGCAGTCAGACTGCCTCATAGAGTAGGACTCCGCGAAGGCCAGGGTACTATCAGGAGGACTTTTAAAGAATCCTGAGACCATGTTGATTCTTGTTTTTGTTCATTTCCATTACAGTTGCTTCTCTGCCTATTGGTAAATAATGCCCCCCCAAATCAGAAGAGGCATTGTGGGTGTTTTCTTGTGACGATTGGAGGGAGAGATAATGGCAGTTCAATATTATGAATAACCAGGCTGCTGACTTTATAGCAGAGAACATATCATGAACAGATCAACCTGACGATCTCTCAGCATCATGTAGAGTTAAGCTGAAGTAAACGTGTGAGTTGGGCTGGGCATGTGGCTCCAGTGGTAGGATGTCTGATTGGAAGTGCAAGGCCCTGAGTTCAAACCTCATTAATACTCTTCTCCTCCTTTCCCCCCCAAAAGTGATTTGGTTTATAGAAACAACTGAACAATTACCAGGCACCAATGTGACAATGGTAGGAAGGGTGGAAGTTTCAGAAATTAGGTGTGTGTGTGGGCACACGCGTGCACATGCATGCATGTGCCAGCCAATACTACTGTGGCTTGAACTCAGGGCTCAGGTGCTGTCCCTTAGCTTTTTTCATTCAAGGCTGGTGTTTATACTACTTGAGTCACAGCTCCAATTTGTCTTGTTAATTGGCATTGAGTGTCATTAACTTTCCTACACAAGCTGGCTTCAAACCAGGATCCTCAGCAGAGAGGCTGGGATTACAGGTGTAAGCCACCAGGTACCTGGCCAGAAATCACTATTTTAAGCCAGAGGTTAGTAACTTTGGCTATACCTTGGTAATGCCTTGGATCTTTTTTATGTATTACTTTTTGGACCTCATTCTACAGGTTTACTTTGGTCTTTAAGAAAAAAAGTGCCACTCTGTCCCAAGCCCCAGAGATTTTAACATGAATTCAGGGTTGAGAACCACTCCCCTAAACCAATATATTCTTTTGCATGGCTGATTTTCACCCTGCTCTGTTCCCACTCTAGCTGAAAGTTATTTCTTCTTATTGCTTCTGTTTGCTGTGGAAATGCAAATGCACAATATGCATATTTATTTTAGAAAACTCCAGGGTGGGACCATGTCTATTTCTATGCTGTTTACCAAGCAACAGAGCACGGGGGTGTGGCCCGTTCTGGTGTTGGGGCTGTGATCTGGGAATGCCCCTCCTTCCTGTGCTAGTTTTGCTGTCCAAAAGGGCACGTTATGGTTGAACGGTCAGAGCACTGGCACTGGGATCTGAATTCTGTTCTTGGCTCAGGTGCTGGCTAGCAGCTTGGGATATGTGGCCTCATCCTTCTGGGAGATGAAGACTTCTCCAGAACCTCTTGCCTGTGCCTTGTTCTCTGAAAGGAACTACATCACTGCTGTGTGTTTGCTTGGGAATGTAGGAAGCAGATGCTGCAAGTCCGCAGAAGCCCCCAAATGACCTCTCCCAGAAGTAATCAGGCTTAGGACCATCTCCTTTAGTTTCCTCAGTGGGAGCAGAGCACAGATCCTGGGGGAACTCACTGTTGAGGTTTCAGGAAACTCAGGAACTCCATGGACCACAGAGCATGATTTAGGGTTGGCAGGGGAGGACTTGAAAATGACCCAGGGGTCTGGGACAAAACTATGGGAGGTAACCAAAATTCAATGAGATATAG